GGGCTCCCTCCTGGCTCCTCTGTACGGATAGCAGCCATGTGGGATGCACTGGGGCCGATCCGGTCCCGTCAAAGGATGGGCCGCGAGTTCCAGCCTGTTCCCCCCATGCTGCAGGTGATCTGCCTGACCGTCCTGGCGTCAGTCCGCATCTACTACCAGTACCGGCTGGGGGGGGCGGTCACCAGGGAGCTGGTGGTGCGGGACCCATACGCCCTGAAGCCCGTCCGCAAGCTGATCGATGCCTGCGCCTTCAGGACCTACCGGCACTGGGTGAAGAAGGGGGAGGCGCAGAACAGAGCCGCTCTCTTCGAGAACACCTGCAAGGCCATTTTGCTGACCCTGGCAGCCGAGGAAGGGCTGTTTTGATGGCCACTGCGTAAGCTGATGAGTTTGCTCAGAGTTAAGGCGAGTAAAATCTTTGAAAACCAACTGGTGATTTCTTTTTCTTCTTTTGCTGGCCTCAAGGTCAGGTACAAAAGCAAAGCCAGCAGATGGCTGCGATTTGCCCCTGGGTGCAAGGGGTGAGTTTGGAGAAGCTGCCTCTGATAGAGCTGTAACCAGCTGCACCTCCTGATGTGCTGGGAGCAGCAGAGCCGCTTGGGGAAGCTCAGCTCACCCCTGGAGTGGGACCCTTTGGGGGCAGTTGCAGGTGGAAAAGGGATCAGCAGCACTCGAAGGGGTGTCCTTGCCCGCTGACATGCTCAGGGTTCCTGGTCCCATCACATTTGGTGGCAGAGCTCTTGCGCAGCCGGTTTATAGCCCTTAAGCTGGCTGTAACACCTGGGAGAGGAGGCCCACTGGTTTGTGTGATCTGTGCACTTAGAAATGAGCACACACATTGTTTTGTTGCTGTTTAAGGGTCAATAAAGGTGCCTTGTTTTACTTTGTGGAAAGCTCAACAGATGGTACGAAGCTGGGAGTTCCCGAGGAGATGGGGACCAACGTACAAGTCCCCATTCCGGGGACGTGTCCCCATTGCTACCCCCTGCAGCCGCCCCTCGTGGCAGCCCCATGCTGGCAGCCACGGAAGGGCTGTGGGTGTCTGTCCTCTCTGGCTGGGGCCGGAGGTCAGAGCAGCACTGCCCCGATCCCACACACACGCACCCCTCTGCTTATTGAAAAGGGACATCAAAAGGAGAGCTGTAGTATCTACTACACCAAGAGGACATTAAAGACCAAGCACCCTGCCTGCCATTCCCAATCACTGCTCACGCCCAGATGTCCCAGTGCAGAAAGGAGTTTTAGCTGCAAGTATTTACTTTTAATTTTTAAAACTCTCCTGATGAAAGTGACTGCTGCGGGTTACTGTTCATCTCCACAGGAGAAAATGCCTTCAGGTCTTCCCAAGCGACCGTCAGAGCTCAGGTTTGGTCTGGCTTTTCTTGGCCGTGACGGGCGGGATGTCGGCAGCGCAGCGGAAGCTGAGGTTGTCAGAGGCTGAGTCTGGCGTGTTCCCCATTCTCAGGGGGAAAAAAGAGACCCAAAGTTAGGGACCCTTCCTAGTTAACGCTTACATCCTTTAACGTGACCCTCTATAACAGACTAGAAACATCTTCTGTTTCCCTTGAATAACTTCAAGAAAAGCATTTCATTCTAAATACTTGATGGAAAATACATGATTTGAGAAGCAATTAGGGATGTATTTATAGCAGGAAAATATTTAGCAGTATTTGTAGTATGTTTTCCTAACTGCTGCTCAGAAAAATTGAGTAGGAACAAACAGATGCCTCTTAAAATAAACCCCCCTTCCAAATAAAACCAAGCCAGAAGAAATCACTGCGCAACTGCGCCAGGGCATTGCCCAGACCTACCTGGTAGTCACATCAGCTTTATGATTTGCAGATCCATCTGCGGTGTCAATCCACGAGGCACCTCTCAGGACGCGCATGTTCTGAGCCCGCTGCCTCGATGACGGCACCGGAGCCAGGTACTCCGAGGCGGTCCACTCCCACGTGTTTCCCAGCAGGTCGTAGAGCCCTGGGACACAGACAGTTTTGCATCAGGATTAAGAGAGCACATTCGTGTATGGGAAGAGAGCACAATATTCAAAGCATCACTGCAAGAGCATGGTTTAACGAGAAGACTGGGAACCAGAACCTCTCTACTGTATTGCAAACTGTCCCCAGTTTAAAACTGGACCTTTAATGTGTCTCATTGTTTCCCATCTGCGTGAGGGCATGGCATCAACTGCCCTCAAAACAACATGTTTGGGATTTTCTAAATCACACGGAAGTGCAAAATAACTGCCTGCTCATTAAAAGCAGGGGAGGGTTTGGTGCATTGAAGTGCGCTGGGTGCACGTCAGCCAACATCACTAACACCCATCAGGGCTTTTGCTGGGCTCGGTTGTTCTATCAAGATGCTGGCGTGCGCCTCTGTCATATCTGAAACCTTGCTACAATTACAGGATTTTTATGTTGAATGGATATTAGGAAGCAGATGCCATCTCCAAAACCAGGGCAGGGATGTCTGCTCCATACCATAGTTGTTCTGAGGAGGGAACGCTGCTACCGGCGAGACGCCGTGATAACCGTCTTCAGCCATGTCGACCCTTGGGAACTCACCCTGGGGGAAGAAAGATCACTCTGAGCAAACACCCACCACGGCCCGTGTTACGCTTAAATAACGGAAATAAGCCTCCATTGCAGATTAACTCTATGCAACATTTCTGGCAGAGAGAGATCAACCGTCTAAAGTTCACCCAAGACAACCCCTTTTTCAAACAAATTTATGTATGAATTTTTGGTTATGTATGAATTTTTGGAAGCACTGAAATCCTGGTTTCCCAGGGGAGCTGGGCTGAGGCTGCTCCCTCTAAGGCTATTCCGGATAACGCACCAGGAGCTGAATTTCGGTACCGTGCAGGTAAGCCTGCATTGCTTCCCAGGACCATGCCGCCTGCTTGAGGCAGCCACACACGCTCCGTGGTCCAGTTCACCACCACCCTCAGAAGAGCTCAGCATAGACGGAACAATTTTTAAGACCTCACCTGCCAGAGATTTGTACGGTTCGGCTGAAACTTGTTTCCCCAGGGATACACCCTTTCTGCCAAAGAGGAAGAGAGACTCGTTAGCCCTGCATCATTCCAGCCTCTGGATTTGCCTTTTTGACCAGGCTTTTATGATCGTCATTTTCTGCTCAGCTCAGGACACCGAGAGGGCTCGGTCTAATCCCTACAGACGCTGCCAAGCAGGCGAGGAGAGACGCGAATCAGCAACAGCTTCCCATTTACGAACCATCGCTCGCACCAGTGGGTCCCGCGGTCCCCCCGGCGATCCCTGCGGCTGCTTTATATCAGCGTCAATGGGGGGGGGACGAGGGTCTGCTCCTTGCCCCAAACCCATGAAATGGCAGAAGTGCTTTGTTTAGGAAGATACATTAAGACCATAGATAAGCCACTTCTTCTTCCTATATTATTATTATTAATTCGACTCCCAGGCCAAAAGTGGTGGTTCAGCCCCCCAGATTAACCTCTGAAAACATCCCTGGATGGAGGTTTAGATCTGGCAGAACTAACATTACTCGATACTTCGGTTTGCAAAAAGATCAGAGCTTGAGGTACGTACGCTCCAGTCCTCCCCTGGCAGCAAATTCCCACTCCTCCTCTGCTGGGAGCCTCTTCCCTGTCCAGGCGCAGAACGCCTGCGCGTCATTCCAGCTCACGTGCAGCACCGGGTAATCCAGCCTGTCCTTTATGCTGGAGCCAGGACCTGAGGGCTGGGAAAAATCACATTGAACAGATTTTAATTGATTTTATAAACTTTTCAGTTAAAAAATGGAATAAAGGACAAAACAAACCAATGCAGGGAATGTGCAGTAAGCAGAGGTGCCTTTTTTCCCCCTGTTTTTGGTCAATAAGGTTCAGCACACGCTAACATGTGCACGCTCCCAGCATGGAGAGGACTCACCACATCTGGTTTTTGCTCACCTGTCGCCAAAAAGCCTTCTCGATGGGCAGCCACCATGGGGCAGACTGGGAAAAGAAATGACACCAGATTAAAGCTGTACTGGCAACACCCCCTGACGCCATCCTCCTACAGCAGCGTGCATAAGTAAAGGAGAGCGGCTTGTTAGTCTGTGGTAGGTTAGGTTGGACTCGATGATCTTAAGGGTCTTTTCCAACCTGAATGATTCTGTGATTCTGGAAATGGTTAAACGCTGCAGTTCGATCTGGGTTATCAAAGGCATTTTGATGGTGCTTTCCAACAGAGGAGAGGCGTCTGCTTTTAAAAGGTCACGAAGTCCACGCTGGTTTGTTTTTCTATTTTAAGATTTAAGTAGTAAAGTCCTTTGAAACGTGCTTTGCTCTCTCCCCGCTCACTGGAGCATCCCATGAGTCCAGTCTGACAGTGCTGGGAGAGGATGCAAACAGAGATGGGCCATATATCAACCCAGGCTCAACCCTGCTGTTCATTTACAAAACAAAACGACCCAAGATCAGAGGAAAACCACAGAGAATGGCTAGGCTCTGCACTGAGAGGCAGCTGCTACTCAGTGGCAAAGCAATACTGGCAAGGAATCCTCTCCTGGCTTTTTTTGTTACTCAAACCAGAAAGGTCAGGCAGGGATCAGAAATGGCAACTCCATCATCATCACTGAAACTCATCCCCGTGGGATTTAGAATTACCTCCAGTTTTTGGGTGACTTTTTTTTTCAGCTCTTCGGATATGAAATCCTCAAAGACAAAGCTCCAGCCAAACGCTTCTGCTTCTGTCTTGTATTTCTTTTCTCTGACAAACTCCCTGGCAGAAACACAACACGCTCAGGCATCTGGGTAACAGTTCTTCAAGAGTCGCACCACCAACCACAGCGATCTGCACACGCAAGAAGTTCAGAGCAAGGCAAAATGCACGCCCACAGACACCCCATCTGTGGAGAGTCCAGGCTCCTCTCTGGCACAGCTCCAGTCGGGTCGATACAGATTTAACAGACAAAACAGCCTGATTTGCATCCGTTCACAGATCTGATAATTTTTTTGTTACCTAGGCAGGTAAACTCACCCTGCACTCTGGTCTTCCATAAAATGTACCAACTGCACAGATCAAAAATCCCTGAAAAGCCACTAAAACCTACAGCTGCTGTTAGCTAAATGTCCCCAAAATGCAAAAAAAACAGTCACATACTGCTGATAATTTCCCCCTGCTTCTGTCCCACTTGTTTCCCCATTGCCTAAGTTGCAGCAATCGCTGCCTCTGCGGGATTCTGGGCAGGTACTGGTGCATGGAAGTGTTGGCGCTTGTTAACCACCAGCCAGGCAAGCAGAGGCACTTCCTCCAGGGGATTTATTAGTGCTCTGCCCAAGGGCTTCTGTAAAACACACCGAGGAGTGGTCCCATATTGACAAATGGAAACTGAACCTATAGGAACCTCAAATCTGAAACAGTACAGCCCTGTAAGAAAAAGACACACACACAAAAAAAGGTCTGCAAGAAAAAAAAAAAAAAAAAAAGAGAAAAGGAGGGGGGGGGGGAGGGAAAAAGAAAAAAAGAAGGGAAAAAAAAGAAAAAAGGGGAACAAACTAAGCACGTTTGGAAGCTATGCTGGTAAGAGGCTTCAGCCCGCACCCGCAGAAGTGATTTATTATGGACAGACAGGTTTTTTTGCTGTACTGGCACAGCTGGGAGCAGCCAGGCACTGGCTCCCGCACGCCCGCAGCCCCCGCGCACCG